TGATTTGGGCAGGTCATTCCACCAGGAGGGAACAGTTAATTTAAATGTCAGTGAAAGTGATTTTGTGCTTCTTTGAGATGAACAATAACACGTCCTTCACTTGCAGAACGCAAGCTTCTAGAGGCACATAACTCTGAAGTAATGCATTTAGGTAAAGGGCTGCAGAGCAAGTGGGGTCATCTGGAGAGCTTCCTCGTGTGCCATCGTGATTAAAAAGTCAACAAATCTGAACTGTGCTGCCAGTTTTATAGTACTGATAAGAGGCGTTAACCATGTACGGCTGCATCAGATCATTACCATATGAATAGCGCGCTCTTCGTGTGGGTGCAGGCCGATCAGCGTTAAAACATTACAACAGACAGTAAAAATGAAGCTTTTAAGGAGACCTGTCCTTAAACTCGACCTTTTGTGAGCATAACGGCATAACTCTTCCTAGATTTTGTATGTTTCTTCTACCCTTTGCAAGCCTTAAAGGGTTAGTTCACCCAAAAATGAAAATTAGGCTGTGTTTTACTCACCCCCGATGCATCCTAGGTGTATATGACTTTCTTCTTTCAGACGAATCCAGTCGCAGTTATATTAAAAATGGTCTTTGATCTTTCAAGCTCTATCATTGCAGTCAGCGGGTGTTGCAGTGTTGCATTGCAGTCACCGTCTGGAGTCCTGTACAGAGCACGTTTCTCCATCACCACTCCCTCTCCTTGGTCTTTAAAAATGGCTGACATTCATTTAATGATCAAATTGTACATCCTTATGGAAATATGATCATATTTTGTAATCATTTATGTATTATAATGTATCATTTAAATCTGATTAATTTTCAAATTGTTTGTTATAAATCTTATATAATTAAATCATTAAAAAAAATTGTTTTTACACCTTGCTATGTGTACTGCGTTAGGCTGACTTGTCATTTGCACTTATATATTGTTGCTCTTTTGTTAGTTTTGACTGCTTTTATTGTCCTCATTTCTAAGTCACTTTGGATAAAAGCATCTGCTAAATGACTAAATGTAAATCAACATCTCAGGAAATTGTTATGGGGTTTCAAACCAAAATATGACTTCCTGTTATGGAACCGGATATTGATTTCATACATGTCCACTGAGGACACCGGGACTAAAAGCATGTTTATTATGCATGTTGGGAGACACAACAAATGAATAGGAAAATAAATTATATATCAGTATTCTTATGAAATATTAGATATTATTATTATGAAAATCTGTCCAATTATTACTCCCATTATTACACTTCTTTTTTTCAACATGCTGTCCCAACAGCACTTTAATAAGCGTTTAACGGGAAAACCAGTTTATGGAAATTTTACACATATTGCATAAAGTAAAATGGTATATCAAATAATTTTGTTCTATCTTTTATAACATTGAGAATCATCCTTATACAAAATGTGGTATTACAAATAATACAGAAACCTAAAAATTGATTGGTGGCTTTTTAAAAATCCCATTGTTTTTGCCTTTTCATGTCTATTCTTGTCATTTAATTCTGTAGAAAAACTGAGTCCTGGTGTCCTCTACAGAGGACATAGCATAACATATGAATATAATATCATTTTTCAAAAAATTATTTTCCTTTTTTATTATGCTCTAAAAAATGTAATGACATGAATATATATATATATATACTGTATATATATATATATATATATATATATATATATATATTCTTTTTTTCTTCTGGGTTTCAGATGGATATAAAAACTTTCATTTCATCAGAGTGACCCTTTTAATTTTGAAGTCTTTTTACTGTACAGTTTTGAAGAAAATGAATGGCAAATTCACCCTAAGCATTCAAGTGCATTCTAACACTTTTACATCATGCCCCATTTTCAAACACTCATGAAAAAATCTTTCTTTTATAGGTTTGTTTGTTCCATCAACTTATTCCTATTTACAGTGACCCTGACTATTACTGTATTAATTTTCAAGTATTTGTACTGTACAGTTTTGGAGGAAATTAAAGGCAAATTCACCCCAAGCATCCAAGTGCATTCTAACACTTTACATCATGCCCCATTTTCAAACACTCACAAAAATCTTTTCCTTTATCAATGGTGTATAAAGTACATGAAAGCCATACTACAGATATCTTACCAGAAAATGACTTTGGTAGAAGTTGAAGTCACCGTTTAGAATATTACTTGAGTAAAAGTCAAAAAGCATTTTTTTTTTTAAATCTTAAACGTACTTAAGTATTGAAAGTAAAAGTACAAGTAAATGCAAAATGGAAAAGAAGCAAATAAATAATATATATAAAATGTTCATACATGGCTTGAGTAGCAAGATTGTGTTCAGTTTTAACTCGTTCTTCCATTTTGTATTTTTGGGTAAGAGTAAGAAGCACTTCATCCGGTACTCAGTGTCTTTCATTCCAACATAAGAAAACATTTCTGGAATTTGCATCTGAAATAGCATTTAGATGTATTTACACACAGTTTAATGTATCTCAGAGGGGACATGGATGCATTTAACCTGCAGTTACAGATGCATAAATAATGTTTTGTTCTTAACATAAAACTTTGAATACTGATATTTGAAATAATTTAAAACATGAAAGAAATAGTCTAAATGTGAAATAAAAACCGCCAGTAGGTGGCAGCAAGTGACTGTTAATGAGTGAGTCATTGAGATTCAAATGACATTCATTCAGAAACAAAGCATTTAACTGTGTTAATGAGTGAATCACTGAATCATTTATTCAACCGATTCGTTCAAAAAGCTGATTCATTCAGTAAATAAACACCGTCCATTTCTCAGAGACGCAAAACAGTGCTGTGATCTTTGTTTGAACTATTTTCGTTGGCAAAATTGAGCAAAAACAAGCAATATGTCTAAAATGTAAGTCACTTAGTGCTTTAGTGAACTTGTACTGAAAACGGTGTCTACAATTTAGAAAGCCTGGGATTTTGAGTTTGAATAGACTAATAAATCAACGTGCCTGCACTCTGTGTATGATTTGGTGATATATATAGTCTACTTGATAATGTCAGATCGCACATCGTTACAACAACACTTACCTCATTATCGCAGACGATGCTGTATCGCACACCTCAGACTTGACTTGAGTGGAAACTGAAATCATCCGCAACTGTGCACGCACTTGTTTGCACGAGCAAAGGTGTTTTTAGGAGTCTAACTTGCAAACGCCAGACCACTGATTCGTCAAACCTGCTTCCCTGCAGTCCGTGTTCTTCTGACCCCAAACCCGATTCCAAAAAAAGTTGGGACACTGTACAAATTGTGAATAAAAACAGAATGCAATGTGGAAGTTTCAAAACAGAGTTATTTCACAATAAACAAACTGAAATGGTAGCGTACATAGTTTGTGCAATTACAGTTATTTAAATTGTTCATTTCTGTAATGTTAATAGAAATCATACACTGTCAGAATAAAAAGGTTGCATTCTATGCATGCAACAGCCGGTCACTGGCAGTCCCTTATGAAAATGAACCATGGTTTTACTAAAGTGACCGTAGTTCAACTGTAGTATTTGTAGATTTGAATCATGTGTAAACAAAAAAACATATCTGAACCATGTGTAAACAAAAATATAACCTAATAAGTTACAATTAAGGCGTATTGAATGTTCAAATGCGTTTTAAACAAAGTTAAGTGCTTATTACCCTTTTTACTTAGTAATTTAATACATTTCATAGTTTAAAAGTTTAGTTCAGAAGTATCGAATCGGTATCGATATCGACGATACTGCCTTGAAAAATATCGGTATCGTATCGAAAACAGAATAAGTGGTATCGCCCATCCCTAGTGTGTGAAAGCACGGTCCTGTAAATTCGTCTTTTAAAGAGAGAGTGGGTGGCTCTGGAAAGACCCTTTAGAGTGTGCTAAAACCATGTTCAAAGCATTGTTGTAAAAGAAATAAATGCAGCAGTGTTCCGCTTTTTATTACAATCGCCCTTTTAAAAGAGAAAGTGAGCGGCTCTGAAAAGAGCCTTTGGGTTTCAGGAACAGACTGGAATCCGCTTATTTGGTTTTGGCGGGTTTCTCGGTCTTCTTGGGCAGCAGCACGGCCTGGATGTTGGGCAGCACGCCGCCCTGAGCGATGGTCACTCCGCCCAGGAGTTTGTTCAGCTCCTCGTCGTTGCGCACCGCCAGCTGCAGGTGCCGGGGGATGATACGGCTCTTCTTGTTGTCCCGAGCGGCGTTTCCGGCCAGCTCCAGGATCTCAGCCGTCAGATACTCGAGCACAGCGGCCAGATACACCGGAGCACCGGCACCGACGCGCTCGCCGTAGTTACCTTTGCGGAGGAGCCTGTGAACACGACCGACGGGGAACTGCAGTCCTGCTCTGGAGGAGCGAGTCTTAGCCTTCGCTCTGGTCTTACCGCCGGTCTTACCTCGTCCACTCATTGCTGGAGATTATGAAGTGGTTGTTTCTACGGTGTGACGCAGAAATAATAACGCTACAGTTTGACAGTCAGCTTTTAAGAGCACGTGCTCCTCTCCTATTGGTTAGAGTCGATCACAGTTGAAAACCAATCAGTGCTCGTCCCTCCAAACCCCTCCTCCTTCTGCTTCTCTGTGTTGCAGTCACTCATCGTTCACGTGCAGTGCATGTTTAGTTTTTTAATAATAATGTAAACCTAGCTTCTGAAGAAACTGAATGTGTATAAAATGAATGTGTTCAGTTGTATATAGTAAACGCTGTCTACACCAATGAAACTGATATATTAGGTTTTGTTCCGTTTTCTTTTCAATTGAAAATAGTAGATCAGAGCAGTCTGATCGCTTATGCTGGTCTTACATGGCGTTTTCATTTGCTTGTTTGGCGTTTTCTTTTAATTTAAGTGATTTACCAAATAAAGGGGAAACACAATCAGATGGAAATGGTATTTAAGTTAGAGCAGAAGTGAAATTGTCAGGACAGCAGAGGAAAATATTGCTCTCCTTTCTCCAAATTCCCTCAATGGGTCTATTAAGGGTTTAAAAATTACACTGCAAGTGACAAGAAGAGTAACATAAAAGTATAAGTATCATAAGTAACAAAAAGAGCGGGAATTGAAACAGGAACCTTATTCATATCGTTCTGCTGATGTCGTTCAAACCATAGCCATATAAATACCTAGACGCCTCATTGGCCGCTGCGATGCGTCCGCCATATTGGTGCGGGCAAGACTGCCTTCAACATAAATAGCTGCGGTTTTTTCTGAATAAAAACACGATAACGTTTACATTTATCAACCGATTTCAGAGGTTTGTGATCTACATGGAGTTAAAAATAACTCTGCCTCCAGTTATTTAGTTAGGTTTGGAAAATTATAAATTTTCGTTAAAAAAATTGTGAGAACTCACACTCGTCTCACTTGCTGATTTGACTGATTTTTTCGGTTTACAATTCTAATGTTAATGTAGTATAACTGTGACGTATACATGCTTTGTCATTTGAATGCACATTAAATGAAATGAAGTTGCCTTCAACCCCAACATTTGAGCTTTTCTCGTGCTTCAGGTCAGAACACAGCTTTGAAACACTGGAGGAAAATCTAAATAATACAGCTTTAAGCACTAATACTTTACCATCAGTGACAAAACTGAATAAAACCAGCGAATACAAATCAAAAAGTGACACTCTTGGTAGTCAGCTTTTTGTTCTGATAGCACTCTACACAGATAAACTCCACAACAAACAATAACTAACGCAACTGATAATCCTTTATGGATCAGTTAAACTTACAGTTACAGCGGTGAAATATCATGCACTGATACAGCGCACAGTCAAAGTGATATGTAATATTAAGTTGTAGTAAAGTGAATAATATAAAAAGCGAGTACAACAGTATATAACAGATTTATAATAGAATAAATCATATGTATAATACCATAATAAATAGATGAATAATAGCAAGTAGAACATGTAATATCAAGGGTGGCATAATACAGAATAGACAATAATGAAGAATAAATTAATAGTAAATTCTAAAGTAAAATAAATGATCATGAAATGTAGTTTTATAATAGTATTGTGTATTAATTATTAAAGAAAGTAAGAAAGTAAGGGTGTGGTTAGAATATGAGCAGGTAATTCTGTTCATTCATTCAGGGCTGTTCTGGGTGTAAGTAGTACTAATACAACACACGGCTGTGGAAGTATAGCCTGCTCTCAGAGAACTAATGCAGAGAACAGGCTTTCTTCAGCTCTCCTTAACGCTTGCGTTGTCCTGTTTGCAATTGGCTAAAAAAGGAAAATATATATATATAATAAGTCCACAGATTTATGATAAACTATCCTTATAATCAAGTGATGATAAACGTACTCTTTGTAAATAAGTAACGTTAGTGAAACTAAAGAGAGATGCTTTAGATCCCTAATCCTGCCAGTCTGGCATTGTCTTGTCAAAGTGTTCTCACTGTGCATATTGTGCTCATAACACCATTTACTTTATGATATAAACTACAATATAAAGTTAAAACTTAAGAATTAATTTAAACTTTGATTTCACAAAGTCTCAGCTTTCACAGCTTACTATAGCTATTAATAGTCTGCCACTGGTGGCTAATTAAGCTGTCAACATAAAGTTAAAGATGACCAAAAAACACACAGAGAAACAACTGTTGAGTCTTAGCTGTGAAAGACAATGCCCCGAGGTCAGTTTTTATTGTTGTGCGACGGTTTGTAGATGCCCGAGCCGCGGACGAGTCAGCTATGTTTTCTTCTGTCCAGATAGTAGAGTAGAGCGGCCAACGAGGCGTCCAGGTATTTATTATGTCTATAGTTCAAACACGGAGCGGTGGGCGGGGCTATCAATTCACCGCCTGTGATTGGCGCTCGCTCCGCTCGTGATACTTCGAGTTGTCCAATCACATACGAGTTTATGGGTTTGGTATATGGACGCAAGCAATCAGAAGGCTCCATATCTCCGTGAGAATTAGCATAGACCAGTCAATAAATGTCTCTGTCCTGCTTTAAACTGTCACTAACTCGTCAGCATCATCATGCTTGAACCCGCGAGGTCTGCTCCTAAGAAGAAGACCGTTGAGCCCCGTTCACACCGCCAGCGCCCGCTGTATGTCGCTAGACTCCGTGCTGTGAGGACGCTTGTGGGCGTTCCTACTGCTGTCGCTCTAATGCTATTGGTAGACTGCACGTCTGGACATATCAAATGCAATCACAAACGGTATATTGCCGGTAAAACTAAGATGTCATTCTATTATGACTAGAAATTAGACTTAAACGAAATAAAAGTAGCATTCTGCTGTTGGAGAGTGTTGTTATATAAACTACAGAAGTGCTCGTGCATTAAATCATTAACCGGTGCTAAACTGCTCACTGCATCATGTAATTAACAACTCGAACCATCAATGTATGAATCAAACTCACTTAGACAGCCAACGGTTTCTTTTCTATGCGTCATTTTTATATCTATGTATGTGGTTACAGTACAATCATAAAGCTCAGAAAATCTGTCCTGTCTTGCCTGCACTGGAGACGGTGACGTGTGAGCGCCACCGACAGATTCTTCACTCCTATTGGTTGTCGCTCGCGAAATTCGCTGGTCATTTGCATAAAGTTAAACAATTCTTAACTTTTGTGCTTGACACGCCCACGTTCTGTCGCCAACGGTCACTGTCGCCGGAAGTCGCCAGCTCTCCATTTAAAATGAATGGGAGCATGTCGCTTTGTCGCTGGCAGTGTGAACGGGGCTTTAAGAGCGCGGGTAAAGCAGGGAAGAAGCGCAGGAGGTCCAGGAAGGAGAGCGACGTTATCTACGTGTACAAAGTGCTGAAGCAGGTTCATCCTGACTCCGGGATCTCTTCTAAGGTGATGGGCATCATGAACTCTTTCATCAACGACATCTTCGAGCGCATCGCCGGTGAGTCGTCTCGTCTCGCTCACTACAACAAGCGCTCCAGCATCAGCTCGAGAGAGATCCAGACCGCCATGCGTCTGCTGCTGCCCGGAGAGCTGGCCAAACACCCGTGTCTGAGGCACCAAGTACACCGGCTCCAAGGAGACCGACTCCAAGTAGACCAGCTCAAAGGAGACCAACTACAAGTACACCGGCACCAAGTACACCGGCTCCAAGGAGACCGACTCCAAGTAGACCAGCTCAAAGGAGACCAACTACAAGTACACCGGCACCAAGTACACCGGCTCCAAGGAGACCGACTCCAAGTAGACCAGCTCAAAGGAGACCAACTACAAGTACACCGGCACCAAGTACACCGGCTCCAAGGAGACCGACTCCAAGTAGACCAGCTCAAAGGAGACCAACTACAAGTACACCGGCACCAAGGAGACCGACTCCAAGGAGACCAACTACAAGTACACCGGCTAAAAGGAGACCGGCTCCAAGTACACCGGCTACAAGGAGACCAGCTACAAGGAGACCAGCTACAAGGAGACCGGCTCCAAGTAGACCGGCTCCAAGTACACCGGCTACAAGGAGACCGGCTACAAGGAGACCGGCTACAAGGAGACCGGCTACAAGGAGACCGGCTCCAAGTAGACCGGCTCCAAGTAGAGCTCTGCTCCGACACCAGAAGGCTCTTTTAAAAGCCACCCATCTTATCGCTGAAAGCGCTTTCTTATGCGTTTAAACGTAAACCGTAACTTTAGACGACAACAAGCTTTGCATTTGGGCGTTTACATAATATTTGTTCTTTTTTTGTTGAAAAAAGAAAAATACATGTCTGCAAAACAAGTTCTGAAAGTAAGTGAAACAGTCTGCGTTAAATCTTTTCAACCCCAAATAAACAATTTCATGATGCTTGTTTACTTCAGCTCACTCTGATTTTAATTGTTTCACGTTTGCAAATCTCATTTAAATGTTTTGTTCATTTTGCAACTATACGTATAAGGATAAAATCCCTGTTACACACCAAACGTATGTTGTACTGGATGTGCTTTGTAGAAGAAATATATCCATTGGGTTTACGTTAAATAATAAAGGGTCATGTATAAATTAAGGAAGTAGTTTCTCTGACAGTGGAGCTGGATATGTGGAATGAAGCAGGATTTGTTGAGTGTCCGTGATAATGGGTCATTAATACAAGGCCTTGACACCCTGGGCAAATAGCAAGTCTCTAGTGCCACAATTCTCAAATTTAATCTGAGGAAACAATGATATTGTATAATGAATATACTTCAAAACTTAGTCTTGTCTGATGAATTTAGAGGAATGTCTTGGCACACCCTAAGGAATATTGTTCATAATCTTGTATCCCAAATAAATAATAGTAACAAGAACAAAACGGCCACTTCCTTTAATTTTCCATTTTAAATGCATGTCTATTATAAACATCGCTCTGCTCAACAGTGAATGAAGAAACTGGCCAGGGAGGAGGGGTTATTGTTTTTCAACTGTGATCGATTTTAACCAATAGAAGAAAAGCACACTCTCTCAAAGGGGTCATATGATGCTGCTAAAAATAACATTATTTTGTGTATTTGGTGTAATGAAATGTGTTTATGCGGTTTAAGGTAAAAAAACACATTATTTTCCACATACTGTACATTATTGTTTCTCCTCTATGCCCCACCTTTCTGAAATGCGTCGATTTTTACAAAGCTCATCGGGCTGAAAAAGCGAGGTGTGCTGTGATTGGCCAGCTGTCCAGTGCGTTGTGATTGGCCGAATACCTCAAGCGTGTGACGGAAACGTTACGCCCCTCACCATACTGTGATACTGAGTGGAGGCCGGCGGGCTTGCGGCAACCACGTGACGACCCCAGGCTGGACTCCGCTTCGTCCACGGGGAAAGCCGATCCGGCGATGCACAGCGCAAAGTTGTAGTATTTCCTCAGCGACCAGCACGGATCAGCTCCAGGCATGACGAAGCGGATATCGTCCTCTTTTGGAAGACCAAACAAAGGTGGTAGTTACCTTGTCTATGGGAGGGTCAGAGAGCCCTCAAATTTAATCAAAATATCTTAATTTGTGTTCCGAAGATGAACGAAGGTCTTACGGGTTTGGAACAACATGAGGGTGAGTAATTAATGACAGCATGTTAATTTTTGGGTGAACTAACCCTTTTAACATAGATACAAAAGGGGAAGTCGTGGCCTAATGGTTAGAGAGTCGGACTCATAACCCAAAAGGTTGGGGGTTCGAGTCTCGTACCGGCAGGGATTGTAGGTGGGGGGAGTGAATGTACAGCGCTCTCTCCCACCTTCAATACCACGACTGAGGTGCCCTTGAGCAAGGCACTGAACCCCCAACTGCTCCCTGGGCGCCGCAGCATAAATGGTTGCCCACTGCTCCGGGTGTGTTCACGGTTTGTGTGTGTGCACTTTGGATGGGTAAATGCAGAGATCTTAGGAACAGGTATAATCAATGTTATTTTCTACAAACTGGAAACAATACCTGAAGCCAAAGATTGTTGAAATATAGGAAGTCAAGCTGGAGTCAGTTCATCTGCACAACACTTAACAATATGGGGAGAAATTCCATCAGGGCCTTTCGATTTCTTTGAACAAATGTGTTTAAAATAGAAGTTAATCTGACTCGGATCAATCAATAACTTACCTTTAATAATATCTGGAAAATACTCCATTACACCAATACTATTCTCAGAAATATGGCCACACTTCTCAAATCTTAGATAAAAGTCATTTAAATCATTAACTTTCTGTAAATCATCAAAAAAAGAAACCATTTCTGAAAGACTGCATATTAGTTATAGATTTCATAGAGTCCCATAGCCGTTTAGGGTTAGACATATACAGCTTGTTCTCCAGGAGTTCTTTATGTTTATTTCGGTCATTCAACTCCTTCTGAACAACTCCTACTCCATGACTATCATGACCGCGAAAAGCCAGTTTCTTCCTGTTAATGGAGTCTTTGATCTCCTTTGTTATGTAGGGTTTACTGATGGCATAAATTATCACTTCCTTTTTTGGTATCACATTATCGGGCCAAAATGTAATATAATCTGTTATTACCACGGTAGTTTCATCAATATCATTGCTATGGAAAACTTCCCAATCAGTACAAAGAAAATAGCCTTTCAAGGCTTCAACACTGTCCTTTGACCACACATTAACATTTTTCACCACGGGTTTGTCTCTTCAACTGTCTATATGTCAGAATTAAAACCAGTGTTGTGAACTACAGTCATGGCCAAAAGTTTTGGCAGTGACACAGATTCACTTGTGTTGTTCATTCACATTGTTTCTAGATTATTGTGTATGTGATCAGACGCATTTTAAATAATTGCTAAAAGCTTCATTGGCCAAAAAATGAAAAAATTTCACTTTTGGGATCCTGACACAAAATGACCAGCATTAATTTACTAATCATACCAGCAGCACATGTGAAAGTGTGAATGAGTACTAGTCAGGTAAAATCACTATCATACTAATTAGATTGTCAGAGCAGACTGATTGCTGTAAAAGGAGGGAAGAAGCACTTTCAATCATTGTGTTTTTGTTAGCAATGGTTACCTCCAAATAAACACGTGCAGCCATCATCGCGTTGCATCAAAATGGCCTCACATGCATGGAAATTGCAACAAAGAATATTGCACCTGAAAGAACCATTTACCGGATCATCAAGGAGAGAGGTTCGACTGCAGTGAAGAAGTCTTCAGGATGTCCCAGAGTGTCCAGCAAGCACCAGGACCGTCTCGTCCCGAGGAGTCAGCTACAGAACAGGACCGTCTCGTCCAGAGGAGTCCGCTACAGGACAGGACAGTCTCGTCCCGAGGAGTCCGCTACAGAACAGGACAGTCTCGTCCCGAGGAGTCCGCTACAGAACAGGACCGTCTCGTCCCGAGGAGTCCGCTACAGTACAGGACCGTCTCGTCCCGAGGAGTCCGCTACAGTACAGGACCGTCTCGTCCCGAGGAGTCCGCTACAGTACAGGACCGTCTCGTCCCGAGGAGTCCGCTACAGTACAGGACCGTCTCGTCCCGAGGAGTCCGCTACAGTACAGGACCGTCTCGTCCCGAGGAGTCCGCTACAGTACAGGACCGTCTCGTCCCGAGGAGTCCGCTACAGTACAGGACCGTCTCGTCCCGAGGAGTCCGCTACAGTACAGGACCGTCTCGTCCCGAGGAGTCCGCTACAGTACAGGACCGTCTCGTCCCGAGGAGTCCGCTACAGAACAGGACCGTCTCGTCCCGAGGAGTCCGCTAGAGAACAGGACCGTCTCGTCCAGAGGAGTCCGCTAGAGAACAGGACTGTCTCATCCAGAGGAGTCCGCAAGAGAACAGGACCGTCTCGTCCAGAGGAGTCCGCTAGAGAACAGGACCGTCTCGTCCAGAGGAGTCCGCTACAGAACAGGACCGTCTCGTCCCGAGGAGTCAGCTACAGAACAGTCTCATAATTATGCCCAAAAATCCATGATCCATGATCCATGAGGTGATGATCCGTGCATTTTCCAGCATGATGGAGCACCAGGTCACAAAGCAAGAGTGATAAAGAAGTGGCTCGAAGATCATTACACTGAAATTTTGGATCCGTGGCCAGGCAACTCCCCGGATCTCAATCCCATAGAGAACCTGTGGTCAGTCCTCAAAAGGCAAGTGGATAAGCAGAAGCTCACAAATTGTGATCAACTTCGAGAACTAATAAGGCAAGAATGGATCGCCATCAGTCAGGATTTTGCCCAGAAGCCAATATCCAGCATGCCAGAGCGAAATGCAGAGGTTATGAAGAACAAGGGTCAACACTTTAAATATTGACTCATATTTTTTTTGCCAATAAAAGCCTTTAAAACATATATGCTTATCATTGTTTTTCAATATACCATAGAAACATGTGGAAAAATAATCTACAAATACCTGAAGTAGCAAAATTTGCAAAACACAATGTTACTGCCAAAACTTTTGGCCATGACTGTACAATCCCCGCCAGACCGGAGACTCGAACCCCCAACCTTTAGGGTTACAAGTCCGATTCTCTAACCATTAGGTCACGACTGTCCCCTGTATAAAGTACTTGCGTATGCCCATGAAAGTCACTGAATTCATTTGTTGCACAAATGGACAGCTTTAGTTTTTACTAAGTTTATTTTTATTGCGTCATTATTCAATTTCTTCAATATTCCAAAGCCGAATGCTCCCAATACACTTGGTTAAGGCCCGAAGCGCCCATGCCATCTTAAAGAGGAGAGGGGAGAAAAATAAATAAAAATGGAATTAAACAATAGCTTGCCGATCCTAATCCATTTGTTGCATTTCATGCTTTGCCTGGGAAATAAAGCCACGAACTCAGTGTTAATTAATGTTTTGTGTTGTAGCCTAAACGTATGTAAAACTCATGTAAGGTGTGATAACTAGCAGTGCATTGCAAAAGCTGTTATTATTAAATTCAAAACCATATTTGTGACAACGCCGCAAAATAATCATACAACAACTTTGCGTAAGGATTTAAACCCTTTTTTAATGGCACTTCCAATTTTTTTCTGGATCATTTGAGATGTTTCTACACTTAACCTGTGACTAACTGAACTCTCTCCATCTCAATCATTAACTTGACAGACAAATGCACTCTAAAGACACACCCTTCATTTACTAGATCATTTTCTTCCAAAAATACTTTAATAAAATGTTTGTAAGACCATGCATTTGCAGACAATATGGAGAAATCCATAAGTACTTGCAAATTTAAAAGCGTGCATCTTAAACCTCACTTTTCATAATTTATTATAAATAATGCGGAATACATCCATAAGTGGCACAACAAACATGAAATAAAACCCACTATGACCAAAAAGTCAAGCTACCGTGAGTAAATAGTTAAAAAGAGAAAAGTGCTCTAGCATTCAATGTATATTCAGCAAACATAAATGAAGTCTAATAAAAGACAAGAGATGCTGAATCCATTTCAGAGTCCACTGTAGGAGGTGTGCCCACCCTCATGTAGTCTACAGTAGTCCTGACCCACCAGAGCCCTCTTTTTGCATGGCTGGCCCAGCCGAGTGATACCGCTGCACAGCGGGCGACCTGAAAAAGAACTTCACACAAAATAAAAAGTTTAAAAGTGAAAAGCTGAGCGAGAGAACAGTAAAAATTGTGTATTTTTAGGGATGTAACGATATCAAGATCTCACGGTACAATAATACATCAATATAAAGTGCACGGTACAGTATTTATAGTGATATTTAAAACAAATAGACAAACGAGACTTGGGGAAAAAGTGCCATAAGTGTTTATTAAATGCTTGAACATTACAATGATCTACAAATTAACCATGTCATATCCTGTCCTCTTTTCTTTATACTCTATAAAAGGAAGTTTTAGGTAATTTGACCCATCTTTTACTATTGATTAAAGTAATTGCACCAGCGCACCTTGACAAAGGTAACATCTATTATTTTTTTCTCTGACATTCTCTATGCTACCTTCCTCGTAGATTACGTATTGATTTTAAAGTGCAAAAAAAAAAATTAAACAAAAAAAGTCAAGTCATGTATTTCACCGCAGTCTGGCAGTGTCTGCATATAGTTTTTGTCTGTCCATCACCTTTTCTCCTTTCTCCTGTATGAATCATCATATGTTCTATGGTAATTATACAATAATATGTGACCCTGGACCACAAAACCAGTCATAAGGGTCAACTTTTTTCAAAATTAAGATTTATACATCTGAAAGCTGAATAAATAAGCTTTTCATTGATGTATGGTTTGTTATGATAGGGCAATATTTGGCTGATACACAACTATTTGAAAATCTGGAATCTGAGGGTGCAAAAAAATAAATATCAAAATACTGAGAAAATAACTTTTAAAGTTGTCCAAATAAAGTCCTTTGCAACGCAAATTACTAATAAAAAATTAAGTTGATATATTTACGGCAAGAAACGTACAAAATATCAACAGTTTTATTGTACAAAAAAAATATATATATATTTAGCGTCAATAGACACTGCACATCTATATAGTCTTTGGCTGCATCCATTGCATCCGACATGTTTAAGAAAAGTTTCCCACTCATAATAACGACTGTGGTGGCTTTCATGCATGTGCAAATCTAAATAGGATATATCCAACATGACTAGAAATCACCAGTAGAGGCAGCAGGGAGCAAAGTATGATGGGCATGCATGGGTCAATGGGAATTGTAGTTCCCACTTCCCCCGGGCTGAAAAAAAACCCTACACTTTTTGCATGAAGACCTATCGTTTCATACAGTCATGTGACCACGATGATATTGAGAATTTTGCTATGGCGATACCACGAATTAATAATATCGTTACATCCATTTTTGTCTATCCATATCAAGACCCAAGAACAAAGTCAAATAAATAGATTCCTATAAACCATTTACATCTGCCCTCCCTTTATTCATCTGCATAAAGTATCAACTTTGAATTGATGTCGACGTTAAAGGGATAGTTCACCCAAAAATGAAAAAGTGATGTTTATCTGCTTACCCCCAGGGCATCAAAGATGTAGGTGACTTTGTTTCTTCAGTAGAACACATTTGATTATTTTTAAGTCCAGCCGTTGCAGTCTATCAGTCGTATAATGCATGGCAATGTTAACAAAATCTATGAGTGTAAAAAAAACATGCACAGACAAATCCAAATTAAACCCTGCAGCTCGTGACGACACATCGATGTCCTAAGACACGAAACGATCGGTTTGTGCCAGAAACCGAACAGTATTTATATAATTTTACCTCTAATACACCGGCACACCTGAACCGAATGGAGCCTCATCGCCGCCCCTGTTTAAATGCCGAGCGCGCCTCTCCTCGGGAGACCGGTCTCTTCCCCGTGCGTGCATGCTGGTGTCCTCGTGGGTCCAGGAGGGGTGCGTAGAGGGACTCCCGTGCTGCCAGAGTCATGAGCTGCCAGACCCACAGTCCGGACGAGAACCGCACCAGTTACATGGCCGTCCGGCAAGGATGCTGGGCTGTCTAGTCCCCGTTTATTTCTGTTAATAAACTGTCTGTCTTTTGCTCCTCCCGCGACAACACACCCATTAACGCACAGGAAGTCGTGCGCGCGCCCAAAGCAGTTGGACATAGTGGTGTATTAGAGGTAAAAAATTATAGAAATACTGTTCAGTTTCTGGCACAAACCGATCGTTTCATGTGTTGGGACATCAAAATGGGTCGTTACGAGCCGCAGAGTTTAATTTGGATTTGTCTGTTCAAGTTTTTTTTACTCTCATAGACTTTGTTACCATTGCCATCCATTATATGACTGAGACTCCAACGGTTGGACTTAAAAAATCATCAAATGTGTTCAACTGAAGAAACAAAGTCACCTACATCTTGGATGCCCTGGGGGTAAGCAGATAAACATTACATTTTCATTTTTGGGTGAACTATCCCTTTAATAAGAGTTGAATAAAGAAACCTGTTGTTGGCGAGTGAATGGTTGGGGCTTGAGCTTCGGGAGTGGTTCACGGTCTCCAACACACCTCCTAGGTTCCTCCGAGGAACATTCTCCAGCACTGCCTGCCCATCAGATAATGACTTCAAGAACATGTTCAAAGAAATGTGCATTTGGCAATCTACTTAAATACTATTAATGATACATACAACAAAATCACTGTTAGTAGTAACAACTACTCACTGCTCCAATGTTGTGGCGACTCTTGAGTCTGGGGGTTGAGTGGTTGTGTTTGCCTGAAATTAGATGACTGAACTTTGGTGGACCATGAGACTGAGATGGGGACATGGACAGTATGTACGGATCACCTACATCAAGAAAGGGAGTGGTGAAAAGAGAGAGGAGGGAAAAATATTATATATAAAATCTAGATTTTACATTTTCTGACGTGCATGAGTGTTATGGTTGTCTGTGTGAAAGTGAAAACCCACTACCGTGATGCTAGTGGTTGTGTGTGGTGGGCAGCTGGTTACAAATGTGCTCTGAGAGGTTTTTAGTGTGTTGCTATATGGATTCTAGGGTGTTTTCTAGTTGGTTGATCACTACCCCAAGTCAACAGAGCCCACTCCCAAGTCTATATGGCCTTCCAAGCACTGCAAAGTTTTGACAACCAGGGATTGTGATTTTTAGAGGTGCAAATCTAAATCTAATGCGCGGTATAAAATCACGCTTCAACTAACATTCTCTGGTTCAAAACCCATCTGCACAAGCAACTTTACATGGATTAATGTTGGCATTTTGTTG